CACCCAGAGAAGTTCTTGGTCTTAGCCCTGAGGGAGTTTTGAATTCTGTGAGAGGGCTTTGATTCTCCTAGAATCCTGAAATCATTCCATTTGCCTCTTTTTATTTAGCCTTCACTGTACATTCATGCAGGAGATTGCAGACCTGATCAGCCCACAATAACTGAGGGATATTATTAACCTGATATTGCCTCAGTCTTCTGCCACCCACAGCCTGCTGGTACACCTGCCTAGACCTAAAGCATGCCTTCTTCTGCCTTCAATTGGCTCCTGTCAGCCAGCCCCTTTTTGCAAAGACACCAGTTCTGGACTGAACAGTCAACTGACCTGGACTCAACTTCCTAGAGGTTCAAAAACTTTTACCATCTTTGCAGAAGCCCTCACAGCTGATCTTGCTAGTTTTCCAGCACAAAATATCACTGCACTTCTGATTAATGATACCCAAGCTGCCTGCTGGAAAAACACAAAAGCTCTGCTGGAATATCTGGCAGAAACTGGCTACAAGGTATCTTGGGAAAAGCACAGATCTGCAAACCAAAAATAAAAGGCCCTTTCTATAGCCCCAGCCCTGGGAAATTCAGATGTAATTTGAATTCAACTAGTTTGTTGATAAATGATAACATGTGCCTTCAAAGATGCCCTCCTCAGACTGTCAGCCCCTAGGAGCCCTCAATGGCCTACCTGTGCAAATACTTGCATCCAGTCACTAAGGGCTGTCTCCCCCCTTAGCCTTCATGTTCTAATAGCCTCTGTCCTTCTGATCAAGAAAGTTGACAAGCTCACCTTAGGCCAAGACCTGTCTAAGTGCCACATGCTGTACTTGCAATCCTGCCATGTACCTGCCCACTGAGCTGGGCCCACAAGACCATGACTGCCTGGCACTGACTGATGAACTGTTCTCAAACTGACCAGACTTAAAATGAACCCCCTGACAGATGCTGAGTACATCCTGTTCCTGGATGGAAGTATCTCTGTTAGGAATAAAGTCTGACAGCCTAAATATGCTGTGGTCACCTCAAACAAAGTTATTTTGGCCAAGGCTCTCCCATAGGGATGGCCTGCACAATAAACTAAAAGATGGACCCTTATGTAGGCTGAAAATGAAAAGGTGTACTGCTTCCTGCTGCTGCATGGAAACTCACTGAAACGATAAAACATCATGAGCCACAAAGGAAAAGCCATAACATCCCATTCCTCGCCAGCATCTGCTCCACTGTCTGCCAGTGATATCAAATCTGCACTCAATACAACTGATCCAGAAGCCTGAGTCCCCTCCATGGATCTGATTGACTAAAACATCACCCTTTAAAAACACTGAAATAAAGCTTCATAAGGTCTGCAAATATATATTGGTACTTATGTGCACCTACGCAGGCTGGCCCAAGACATTCCCTACCCACACTGAGAAGACAACAGAAGTTTATAGGGTCTTGACATGAAAAAAATCATCCCTAGATATGGCCTACCTTTAATTATTAACAGCAATAACAGGCCTGCATTTATAGCAGAGTTAACTCAAAACTGAAAAGGATTAATAAAAAATATAACCCTACAGAAACAGTTTGTAACTAGCTCCATGAAAATTTAGCTAAAAGACAAGCTATACCTGTGGATACTCCTACACATGCATGTAAGACAGGTGCATATTAACTATCTCTAGATCTCTTAAAGTTTCAGAAATCCAGCTTTAGATCCACCACTCCAGAGTTAAAAGAGCTCATCTACAGAGTTCAAAGACGATTGCTGGAGTGTTTACCTGGACCAGACAGCTTCTCTGAAGTTCACTCTAAAGAGACTACACACTCAAAGCCCTGATCTGGTCACTCTGGGTGCTGACCAGTCCACACACAGCTGACACCTGAGGACATCATTCGTAGGATTGCTCCAGACCTCAATGCATGATTCCCCCTGATTTCTGCATCTTTTCAGGATGCTCACCCCAGCCCTTGCTTCCACTTCAGCCTGCATATATTGTATTGTCCAAATTGAATTTTGCTCCTGACTCCCTGCTTCCTGTGTTTGTGCCTTAGTTCTATGGATGGATGCCCCAAGAAAATAGAAACTACAATTAGTCAAACACTTGATCAAAATTTGATAAGCATCCAAGACACATTGAACACTCTCCTAGATCAAATTAACTCCCTCACTCCCTTCCTAGAGTAATAATAAATCTGCCTAAAACCACATCTCCTCCTAAAAGCAACTTAGGGAGAGACCCCATAATAAGGGAAACAAACCACAAACTCCTGGTGGGAGAACTTTCCAATCTTGGGGACCTTAACTAGGGCCTATCCTAGGACCACTGACAACCCTAATGTTGCTGCTTCTCGTTGGGCCTTGTATAATTAATTGGCTTACCCTATTCATCTCAAAAGATCACATATAATGTGCCCTGCAACGATGTACTGAGAAACTAAAAGAGAGGGGAAATGTACCAGCCAATATACTTCAGTTTTTGTTAGTTGCCCAGGTAACAGTTCCTGTTACCATTCCTGTTACTTTTGTTTCTTAGAAACGACTGGTCACTGTGATACATAGCTGGTTACTATGATGCATACTGTAAGAACAAATTAATGACAGCCAAGTACTCTGATTCTTTTTTAAAAAAATTTATTTTAAAGAGGAGAAAAAAAAAAAGGCAAAAACAAAACAACAAAAAGCAATAAAAGTGATACAGAATCTCAAAACAAAATGATGGGAAATCAACAATGCTTGTTACACTACACATTGTTACCTTCACAGTAGTTGCTCAGACTACCAGATAGAGGCATGCAAGATTGATCAAACAATTAAGCATTAACTATTCCTTTTAATAAATCAATAGAAACCAGCAGGACAACCATCCTAGCTATCATATATATATATATATTACATATATATATACACATATACATATATATGGTATATATGGTATGATATATATAATATATATCCTGTATATATACCCTTCCTTCTTTTCTCCTTTCC